ATAGCAGAGGTTATGAATGCTGCTCACAGATAGTATCAGGAATTCTTCATGATTGCCATAATGGTGAACCCAGCATTCAGAACTGTAATACTTAGTTTTATCTAACAAGTAAGTTTGGTCTGTTTAACTTTGCTCCACAAAAGGAAAAAGAAAAAAAAAAAAGAATTCCATCTTATCACAAACCAGTAACGTAACTGTCCTGGACATAATCATAGAACAGCATAAAAGAAAAATAAAAGTTATCTTTGGAAAAATTAATGATTAAAAGTGTTAAATGAGTAATGGAAAACAATGTTACTAGGCTTGATTAGTCTCTGAAAAAGAAAATCAAAACAGAAAACACTTTTCTTAAAGTTAAAAATTAAGGCTACACTAAAAACTACAAAATTATTGTACCTAGTATGTCTGAAATATTAAAAACTATCTGTTAAAATATATTTGTAAATTCTTACCCCTTCAGCTTCTTGAACTTGGAACTCTCAAAGGTAATAACATTCTCTCACCTTACCCTTCTCTACAATCTCTCTTCCAAGAACTATTTAGCAGCATGATTACTGACTTAATGCTTTCTATAGAGACAGAGGCTACCATCACATGACACCTCAGTACATTTAGGCAGCCCTGGCCAAGGCTGCAAGACCTGGGAAAAGGGGGCAAGTGTGCTCATGAGCAACACTATTCCACTTGTGTGGGAGACATTCTTTACTCCTTTCACAAAAATCCAGCAAGGGAAATGCTCCATGGATTTACATGAGCCTCATCTCCATCTACAGGTCAGTCTTAAACTATACATTAGAAATATAATAGTCTATTATGTTACAATGCAACATTTGTCCTTATTTAATGAAAAAAATACACAATTTAATAGAGAAATTTATGAGGCATAATATTTTCATAATAATGCAAAAACTAACTGAATAAAGCACATATGACTATTTTAATATAATCATCAAATTAATGATCTAACCACTTAAGACATTGATAACAATATTAAACAAAAAATAAACCAAAGATATATCACTGAAAATATGCTTATTCACAACTACTCAGTCAGTATTATTTATTTATATTTGCTTTCAAAGTTTATATTGATAAAAATGAATGGTCCATTTAACAATTCTGATTTGAAATGACAGGTGAAATTTTCAAATTACAGCTTTTTCTCCTTATATTGTAAGAGCCATCTCTAATATTCTTAAATGTGACTGAAAAGAAATATTCTTTACATATAAACTGTCCTCTTGGGACTTCCCTGGTGGTCCACTGGTTAAGAATCCACCTTCCAATGCAGGGGACGCGGGTTCGATCCCTGGTCAGGGAACTAAGATCCCACATACCAGGGGGCAACTAAGCCCGCACGCTCTAGAGCCTGCACACCACAACTAGAGAGCCCGCACGCCAATTAGAGAGAAGCCTGTGCGTCGCAACAAAGAGCCCACGCATCACAACGAAAGATCCCACATGCCACAACAAAGATCCCACACACTGCAACTGAGACCTGATGCAGCCAAATAAATAAATAAATAAATATTTTTTAAAAAAACTGTCCTTTTAGGTAGTTTGCTAGATAGAGAGAAGATTTTTAAGGGCTAGGGACATACACTTATTACCATTCTAATATTCTGTACTGGGCTACCCCTATGCTCTTACTTTCTGATCCTTCGTGTATAAGGAGAGAGTCCAAGGAATATGAAAGCAATTTATTGGCAGTTATAAGAACAAGGCCTATATATAACAGAGTTACAAATATTAATGATCTTTGAACTCTGGCTTAGCATTTAGAAGTCACGTCAATCTTTAGCCCACGTGGTCCTGTTTTCCTTGAAATGGTACTAAAAGATAAAGTAGTAAAATTTCCTGATTTCTTGAATTATATATTAAAGTATATGTCATTCATCTGGTAGCACAAACACTCCTCTTCAAAACTTAAGCCTGTGTTTCTGTAAAAAATAAGTTGTCTTAATAAATTTTTAATTTTTGTAAAATTATAGTTAAATATAAAAACAGAGGGTCTTCTGGTTTCTGGTCCAGCATGTAATGAGCTTAGTTAGAAGTTTCCACTTGATCCTACCACAAGTAAAAAGCTGAACAAACTGAAAATCAACAACTCCTCTTACATCTGCTAGACAAATGAGGTCATAAGGCAAACTGCTGCCTCAAAAATTGGAGAGATGGACAGGTAAATGCAGAGAATCAGAAACAGAAACCTCCACAGGAACCAATGCCAGGGTAGGAAAAACTGAACTGTAATTGACTAATTCCCAGAGGCTCAGAGTGGACAATTCAGAGTTAAAAAATTCAGCGGACACAGTCATGGGGGTCTCAAACTTTTGTGAAATTTTACCTCCAGGTCCTCTCATAGTGAATATCAGAGAAAATTCCCTCCTGCTAAAAGCAGGAGGAAAAGGAGAGGAAAAGTAACCATTTTGAAATACACAAACTCATTTTTTTCTTATCAACAAGTCCTGCCCTCAGGAGAAACTATTTGACCTGAGTCTAAACTACCTGAGGGAAGGGTAACACCCAACTCTATCCCCCTCCAACCATCCTTGTACCATACGGGGTGGGTGGGCAGGGACTGAGAAGCACTGGTGAAATTCATGGTCCAGGGGCAACAGGCTCATCTAATCATCGGACACCCATCCCCCTACCTTACCACTACATTACTATACGCCTATTGACTGCAGTTTCTTTCACCCAGTATATGATGTCTGCCTTCCAACAAATAAATTACAAGGCATACTAAAAGGCAAAAGATACAATTTGAAGAGACTGAACAAGCCTCAGAACCAGAGTCAGATATGGCAGGAATATTAAAACTATCAGACCAGAGATTTTTTAAAACTATGATTAATATGCTAAAAGCTTTAATGGAAAAAACGACAAAACATGGGAGAACAGATGGATAATGTAAATGGAGAGATGGAAATTCTAAAAAAGAATAACAATGAAATGCTTCAGATCAAAAACACTGCAACAGAAATGAAGAATGTCTTTGATGGTCTCAATAGTAGACTGGACCAGGCTGAGTAAATAATCTCTGAGCTTGAGAATATGACAATAGAAATTCCAAAACTGAAAACAAAGAGTAAAGACTGAAAAAGCATACAAGACTACCCATCACCTGCGGGTCAGCTAATGTAACATATGCAAATTGTAACATACACATAATGGGAGTACCAGAAGGAAAAGAAAGAAAGAAAAAGAAGCAATATTTGAAGCACTGATGATTGAGACTTTCCCCAAATTAATGTCAGACACCAAACCACAATCTAAGAAGCTCAGAGAACATCAAGAAGAAAAAGTGACTAAAAAAACCAGGGGCTTCCCTGGTGGCGCAGTGGTTGAGAGTCCGCCTGTCGATGCAGGGGACGCGGGTTCGTGCCCCGGTCCGGGAAGA